TGTTAGCACAACCACCTTGGTGCAGTTTTGCAATTTTTTACAGAAATAAAGGTGATTTTGTGAATTTAATTTGCAACTTACAATGGATACTACCTAAAGAACTGTTGTATGCATGGTTGCCAGAGTTTGGCAGCTTCTACTAAGGTGGTTATGATAATACATAAGTAACCTATTGTTAATTATAGTGATTGCAATTTGAAATAAATATCAGTCAAATATGTGTATTTGTTGCAGTTTTATTGTAGTTTGCCACTGTGCTTCTGATATTGCATGTAGTTTGTTCCGAACTGAATGTGAATGTGGGATGAATTTTAAATGTATTGTTTTATTTTGCACAATTGCCACCACTTGTTACTGCTTTCAATGCCCAATGGGATTAGGCTTTGAACTGCTTTTTACTTTGTATTTTTTCATATATATGGCTCTTAGAAGCTGATCATCATTGAGGCTATTCATATATTCCTCATAAATACATATTATGCTATTATTAACAAATTTCTATCAGAAGTACAAAAAGGAAAGTGTGGTGACATTTACTCTAAATTTTTGTTTCTGCCCAATCTAAAAAAAATTAAATTAAGACTTATTAGAAAGAAGTAGCCAATTGCTTATGGACAATTTAGAAAACAATTTTATTAAAAAGTACCTTTATTTTAAAAATGGGATTTATTTGAAAAAAAAATATATCTAGTGAGGAACTTAGTTAACCCTTTGACAGTTTCATTTTTTTCCAGAATTCGGTCAAAAAAAAGTCACATTTTTTTATTGCATTTTTTCGTTCATTTTACTTTTTTAAGTAAAGATGTGTTATTAAAATTAACATTTCTAATATTTTTAAGCATTTATTACAACTTTTTTCTTTAATGAAAATAATCAATTTTCCCTGCAAGTTGTTTTTTTTCCTACATGAATGCAAAACAGGGAAGTTACATTTACAATTAAAATAGTACAATTATTTAACAGATATTTTCGATTTTAATTCAATTACATTTACTATTATGTTTTGATACAAAACATACTTACCCTTCTTTTTTTAAAGATCTGATTTAGTGTGATATATCTTAAAGCAAGGCGACAGGCACAGTCCAACATCACAGTCTGGGCAAAAATACCTTGTCTCTTTTCTAATTCTTTTGCCGTTGTCATTGTTTTTCAATGAACACATATAACACTGTCTTGCGGGTCTTAGTTTTTTCTCTGTAGGTGGAATAACCTCTAAAAATGTCTTTCTGTTAGTCTTAGTGGAGTTTGGTGAATATCCAGGACGGCCTTTTTTTTCTTCTATTGCTGCATGCCTTTCAATAAGTAGATCAATAATTTCCAATCGAAACTGTAAATTCGTATCTTTACCACCGTGCTTTTTATACAAAACATAAGCATTCCATAAACAGATGTCTAGAAGATGAAAAAATATTTTTTGTAGTATTTCTTGCTTCGTTTCTTTATTACAGGATAATTACTTAGGTTCTGGTTCATTCGATCTACACCACCCATTGTGTTATTATACTCCATAACTACTTTAGGTTTTTGTTTAATTTCATTCGTCGAACTGGATACTTGAACCATTTCCGAATTATGTATTGTAGATATGAGAGACACGGCTTTTTTGTCCATCCATTTCATAATGCACACTTTTCCCCTCTGGTAAGCAAGCACTTTCCCTTTTTTGAAGTTTTTTTGTCAACAGTGCTTTAGGAACTTCCTTTCTTTGAAGTTTTGATGTTCCGTACATATCTGTACAGTAACTAATGAGGATATCTGCTATTTCAGGAGATGAATAAAAGTTGTCAGTTGTCAGACAATATCTTTTATGTAAAAGTGGTTGCATAAGTGTAATAACTACCTGCGAAGATTTGCTCAAATGTTTGTAACTTTCATCAAACACAGTTCCTTTTCCGGTGTATATTATCATAGACCATACATATCCAGACTTCGACTCACAAAGCATGTACAATTTTATTCCGAAGCGTGATCGCTTTAGAGGAATATACTGTTTCCAACTTAGCCTTCCTTTGAACAATATAAGACTCTCGTCTATGGTAACATCATGTTCAGTGATGATCATTTCTTTGAAACGAGATTTTAAATGCTTTAGCACGGGCCATATTTTTGATAATTTTGGACACTTATGAGAATTTATGTCAAAATTGACATTATCTGAAAAATGCAAATAACTGTAAATTAATTTAAAGCGGCGATATGACATCACTTTTGGAAAAAAAATGGCGTGGATGCTGAATGCCTCTTGCTCCAATACTGCTCAACAACTGGCTTTTTTACAACACCTTGCAGAATATTCAAAGCAAAAAATACATGTAATTCATCTTTCAATGTTGGCGTCCATTTTTTGCTCTTGGAATGCCTACGAAGTGTACTGTTTTTTATGCATTGCTCAGCATATCTATTTGTTTCAAAAACAATCAGGTCAAGCAAATAATCGTCTATGAAAGCATCATAGAACTTAACCTTTAGTCTCATCGATTTACCTTTAGTCTCATCGATATCCAAGTTAATTTTTGGAATTCCAGTGAAAGCAAATCTGGGAGGCGGATCCGAAGGATTATCACAACTAATTTAAAAAAATTGTCTTGCTTGACTGATTCCGTCTGTATTACTATCAGAGTCACTACTATCCAGGTCCTCTAGTAAACTTTCGCTACTATCATTTACAGATAATTCAGTTTCTGATTCCAAGTCACAGTTCGAATTACAAGAAATTAGCTCCATACGCTCTGAATTATCCATTATTTAAAAGTAAAAATATATTATTCAATCAATTAATAATAATTGAATAAAATTATCAGGCGGTTAGTAAAATATAACCAGAAAGCTATACACTGAAAGACAACAATTCGTCTTCTGATACAAAACATGCGAAAAAACCCGCGCTTTTGAACCAATCAGACAATAAACTGCAAACTATCATTTACTGGACAACTATCGCCATCTATACGAATAATTTGTTACTAAAATTGGAAAAAATATGGCCGAAACAGTGCAAGCGAAATAGAAATCAGATTGCCCGTACGGTAAAGGCTCGAGTACGGGCAAAACAGGGAAGGGGTTAAAGGCAATAATTGCATTGGAAATTGAATGTATATTTCCTAATGTGGCCACAGCAATGTTCATTAAGTATAGCCATTACAAATTATAGCAGTGAAAGGTCTTTTTTCAGCATTGTAAGGAATAAATAATTATTTACATTTCTTTTATGGGACAGAGCAAATTAAATGATTTGAGAATTTTATGCACTGAGCGTGAGTTTTTTAATAACTTATATAATGAGTGATATTTTCAACAAATTTACACAAGGGAAAAAAAAAAAAAAGGCTAGGAGAATAAAGATATAAGCTACTTTTTTTTTTTTAAAAAAAATGTAGTTTGTTTTTATTCATATAGGTTTTTTTTAAAAAAAATATGAACTTTATATTTTTACTTTGCATAATGGTAATAAATGGACTTTTTCTAATTTTGATTTGCTGGTTATCCTACTTTCATTACCCCTTCTATGTATTTTGTTATGAAGAGAAGTGTATTATTGTTAGCAGCCTATGGGCACTGAATATCTTAGGACACCCGTGTTCATTTGTACATTTTTTTATTAATAAAGGAAATCTGAAGTGCCTTTATGAAATTGTTTATTTTGCTTTCAGGAAAAATTTAGGTTTGGGTTTATGTAGCTATGAAGCTGGGCTGGCACAAAAGATCTTGGGCAAAGAACATTCCCATATATATTCCTTCTATCTCTTTCTTTATATTTTCAGGCTAATTTAGCTAAGCACATGCAATATGCAGACTTCTGAAGGGCTAAGTTGCACAAAAACTAATTAGAATGATATATCATAATCCATGTATTGTAAGCATGGTAAGCAATGCATGATCAAAAATGTCATTTCTGTGCATTTATCATGAATTAAATATGGCATATGAATATAAGAAAATTCATTGTTGATTGTTTGTTGGCCTACAAGACAGTTCAAGTAAACATGCCTTGATCACTTCTGCATTACACCAGAAAAGACTGGTGCCTCATAAAAGTGATGAGGACCTTGATCATTTTGTAGACTCACCAGGTATTTTCCAAACCATAAATGATTCTGTGTATCATAAGGTCAAGTATTTGCTGCAGTTTATGATGATTGGAACTTTGAACACGTTTTGTAACCTCAGTGTGTTTTCTTTTCTTTTTCTTCTTCTTCTTCTTCTTTTTTTTTTTTTTTAGTAATGTGTTTTGTTCCCTTACTTTCTGCTGTTTCATGTCTTATCATCTGTGTACATTTGATACATAAAGATTTTGTTTCTGACCTTGTATATCCGAAGGTATTTCTGACCCTTTTCCTAGTATTTCCAATTTTGTATGATTCTGATTTATCTTTTTATATCCTATTCCTCCTGGAAGTTTATATACATTTAGCTGAAACATTCTGTATATATATTACTTAACAATTGCTAAGGAACAGAAATATTTTTTGAAAGAATTGGCATTGATTGAAAAAATAAAAATCAGCATATATTTGGTACATTCTTTATAATGCAAAATGATACATGTATTTTCAGCATGTGGAAAAAGAAGATAAGGAAAAATAAAACAAAAAAGTTGCTTATTGGAGCAATATCATATAGTCCTGAAAAATGCTCCATCCCAACCATTGAGGTTAATATTCATCAATATTATAGTACAATATTAGGTTTAATATTTTTCTGTGTAGATGTCACATTTATGTACAAGACTTTCAAAAAATATCTCCATAATTATGCGTAGTACCTTGAGAAAAACTGATATTTTAAGCATTTTGTTATTTGTTCATATTTCTTAATGGTAATCAGCTAATGTGTAGAATATGTGCTTCATAAAAATTATGTATTCTTCTTTTAGATGCATGCTTTCATATTTTTTAAAAATGGAAGCATATATAATCTGCTCTTTAGAAAGCCTGCGAACTGTGATTTCTAACGGCACAATTTTTTATATGTTTACTTATATACATTTTCTTTATTAGAGAAATAATTTTACACTTTTTAATCCTGAATGGATGGCATCTGAAGAATTGAAGCTTCTTGATGCAATAGCAGAGCGGGGAATTGGAAACTGGTAAACATTACTTTGCTGTTGTATGATCTAAGATGCATGGTCCTAGAATCCTATTGTGTTTGCCTTTTTTGTGTGTTATTCAGTTAAAGTAATTTTTATATAGTAACTGATTTAAGTTCTAGTAGGGGTTCAACATTTTGATGTGTTTCATGTACTTCTTTAAAGCTTTTAAATTTTCATAAATTTAGTATATTCGATACTATTCAATACTGAGTATAATTAATTTTATTATACTTTTTTATTCTGTAATAAAATGGAAGAATGCCAAATAACTGTATAAGTTTTAAATAAAAAAATTAAGTGATTAAGACAGGAACTTGTTAGGTGTTTCTTCTGTTTTAGTTTTAATCTTGTATGTTTATGCTACTTCATCTTTTAGCTATTTCTTCAATTTTAATTATATATTTATGTTATTCTCACCTTATTTCCATGTTTTAAATTTATGAAAAAAAGTTTGATTTTGTCATGTAGAAATTATTTGGCAAATTATATTTAAGATGGCTAATTAGCAATGTAATCTGCCAGCTACTGAAGTATTATATACATGATAATAAAGATCAGCTTTTTCTATGATAAAATTAAATTTTTTTAGTAAAATTACAATTTTGCATAAAGAATCCTCTTCTTTTTTTTTTTTTTTTTCAAAAAATTCCATTTCTTAAAAGATGTTTATTGAAAGTAAGTAAATTTAGTATCTGTATCTTTTAAATAATGCAGTTTTTTGCTATCAAGCTAGCTTTCATTTGCTATTAATTTATATGGTAGTATTAAAAGGAATTTTGATTTTAAAATCGTGAATTGGAGAACCATTCTTTGACCTCTAAAAATTAAATTTTATAAATTGAGTCTTAATGTAATCATTTAAAGATTAAAAGAATGAAGATTTTATTTTCTGTTGCAGGTCTGATATTGCTAAAGATGTTGGTACAAAAGGTAAAACAGAATGTGAAGAACATTATTTTAAATACTATGTTTATAATCCTGTACCACCATTGCCAAGTATGTAAATTATTCATTTTCTAACCTTTGGGATGTTTTTTCACCCCAATAAAGGGATGGGGGCTTAATATCCAAAAAGTTGCATAATTATAAATCAGTTTAAAATGTTAAATATTTTATAAACGTTACTGTCTTTGTTTTGGTCATTTGGAATATCAGAATATGTTTTAAATATCAGAATCAAGTTCTTAGTTGTTGGTCATTTGGAATATCAGAATATGTTTTGAATATCAGAATCAAGTTATTAGTTGTATTCTCCTTAAAATATTATATTTTTTATATTTCTAAATATTGTTGGTTATTATATTTAAAAAAATAGATATAAAAAAGATAGCGATACTGAGAATAGAGTCTGTGAAGTTTCTAGCTCAAGGAAAAAAAAATGTTGGCAAAACTTCATTAAAAAAAATGAGTGCAAAATTTTATTATAATAAATATTAATATGAAGGTAATGAAAAATTATTTATGGGTTACAGTTGTGAGATTCACTTTTAATGTATTCAAATATGTTAGCATGGCTCTCATAAAAACATTTTTAATAATAATATTTTTTAATATTTTTATGAAAATCCAAGAAGAATAGAGACAAAATATTTTCTACAAATACAAATATAAGGTGTTCATAAGGTCAGAAAATTCTAACTTCAAAAGTGAATTGTTTGATTAATATATGAAAAGTAAGTGCTCAGTAGATAGCATAGAATGTTTCATTGATAATAAAAGCAGCAAAATTTTTTGGACTAGCAACATGTATGCAATTTAATCTCCAGCATGCTTGTTTAACCTCTAGTATGCATCTTCCTGCATGTGTTTATATTAACACATTGACTGCCATGCAGATTTTACATGGTTTGCCCATAGCACCAACATGAACGTTTTTATTTTGCGATGTATGTTATGTTGAAATATTATCTACAGAAGACAAGGTGAGTTATATAATTGTCTTTAATGTATTTTTCGTGGTGGTGGTCACCAGTGACCCACGAGCCACTGTAAACCATTTTTGCAGTTATCATTTATTTCAAACTGTTGTGCTTCAGTTGCTAAGCAATTACTCTGATTTCTTAGTCTTATTCAGTTCAATAATTAGAATTACTCTACGTATTTTTACTATTGGTCATTTTGCTGGTGGCTCCCATGGCGCTGCAGCCAAGTTGAGTGCTGGCCACCAGGGAACCCCACAGCAGTCAATGTGTTAGAGTACATTAAACAGCATGAATAAAACTTTCATCTGTTATTATAATAAAATAGTACTATCAAAGGGCTCCAGGAAATTCTACAGTGATAGTAAAACCTTTCTACGTAACATACTTGTCAAAAAAATTAGAGAAGCACTCCTCTTAAACAGCTGTATTATTGAACTGGCAGAGTGCCAGATATGCATTACTCGGTGTGAGTGGGTTTCATACCTAGTTGCACAGCTTGCGACAACTGCTAATATTGAGACACTAAGATAAGGCATGATTCCAACAAACGCTGCTTTTTTCATGGTGTTGCTGTTATGATGACAGCAATGTATATATATTGTATCTGCTGCTGTTACAATAATTGTTATGTTATAGAAAATGATTTATTATTATTATTGATTGATTGATGTTACAAATACCTATATCTTAGAATTTTTTATATCACTTTTTTTTTGCCGGGTTATGTATCTTAATGCAATTTGGCAAACTTCCTGTTTTTTAAATGTTTAAAGGTATTGTAATTCAATGTAGCATAAAATCTTTAATTTGTATTTCAAATTTAAAACATAGATTGCTTAATTAACTGAACAACTTAAAAGCAATCAATGCATCTCTTAATAATTTGTTTTTTTATTGAACATTAGAAGTGTGTTTAGCTTAGTATTGAATTTTCAAGTATCATTATATTTTGCTATGAGGACATTTACCATATATATGACTTGACAAATTGCCAATTCTTTGTGGTGTTGCTAATTGAAGTGGCAAGAAAATGTTTATTTTTCACATTAAAATTGTATGTTGTATTTAATTAAATAAGTGATTTAAAAACAATATGCATATTTCATTGTAATTTATGTCTTTATATTGTTATTTAGTAATATCTCTAATTGATATAATTTATCTTGGTTTATTTATAATGAACATAACTGAAAATTTTTGTAAACATTTTACACCATTGTTATAATTAATAAAAGCTATTTCTAATTATATACCTCGGCACAGAAAATTTGTCAGCTGCATAAAAAGGTTTAATATTTGCCAGATCATTTGTCAGGTGGCCTTCCTTAATTTCTGAAAATTATTATATTTCCTTTAAAGTATAATTATTGCTTTTAAATTTTAATAAATTTTATGTAAAAACTGCATATTGTCTGAAAATGCTATTTTGTATGGGTTTATATAAATAATGCATAATTTAATGCTTTTCATTTAAATTTATTATTATAACTATCAAAAATACACATTCAATAAATCCATTTGTATTTTAAATCATTAATATTCTGAAAATTTGTTTGTGATAATGATGTTATGTTAAATACTGAAGAATTTATTTTCAATTTTCTTACAGAAATTCCTGAACCTGAAATTGAAAGTAATATTCACTCAACTCCAGTAGCATGTACAAGTATGTAACTTTTATAAAGCTTTGTTAAATTGTTTAGCTTTCTTTCTTTTTTAAATATTTTTTATTAATTTATTTTGAGTAACAATGTTATTTATTTTTTTTAGTAATATTCAAAGCAGTTTACTATTCATTTCATAGGGTGTTGGTTATTTATTTATTTTAGTCTTCTCAAACTTGCGCTTTTATGATATAGCCATGTGTATCTTAGCAATATATGTGTATACACTCGCACATATCTAACACTATTGCTGTGAAACTAAACTTTATTTGCATTATACCAAGTTAACAGAAAGATAAGACACTTATTTAATTATAATTAAATTCATATAACAAAGATCTGAATATTTTATAGTTCTTCAGCTTCTCATTTTACTCAAATCTATTGATTCATTCTTCATATATTCTAACTCATTTTATAAACTGCTGTCTATTTTTTAATTGCTAATCTGATTCTACCTGTTGTTCTGTCTATTCTGATTTAGACTAGTATTTAGTATTTATCAGTGGGGATAGTACTGTCCATCTTGTATGCTTTAATATCTGGAAGGTATGAGACATCAGAGTGTTGGTAGTTAAGTTTAGGTACCAAAAATGTTACACTTAAGGTTTTTTCTCATGTGTTGTTTTAAAAATAAGTTACAATTTTTTCTTTCATTCTGGATTTGCTTTATTAATAAAACTTTCATAGTTTGTGATGCTAGGAAAAATTTTACAAAAGTATTTGATTAATTATAAATTGTATCAATCATGCCTTTTAGCTAATTTTTGAAGCACTTTCATAATTTCTTTCCTTTTGATGACATTTTAGTTATATGCAGTAGATTTAATTTTAGTTTTAAAATTAATCAAATTATGCCATCTGGTCTTCCACCTCATGTCCTTCTAAATCTTGTTCATTTTGGTAATTAAATAAATTACTTGTCTATTAATATTATATTTCCCCTTTCATGTTTATTTTTTACAATTATTTTTACTTAGAAAGTCAGCCACTTTATACATTGAACACTCATTAATTCAAATTCAAAGTTTCTTAGAAAAGAGTGCAAATTATTCATTGTTAAAAGAAAAGTATATCATTGAAAAAAAAAAAAAATCTCCTTGTATGTATAATCGTAGAAAATGTATTATACTAGGCTGTCTAAAATTAAACATTAAAAAGCAATAAAGACTTACCTTAATCATAAAATGAAGCAAAAGATATGCAGTAAGTAAAGTAAAATTTAATTAAAAATATGAATTATGCTTTTGAGAAAAGCTGTAGAATGCACGTTTGCTTTTGTTTATTATGCCTACATTTTTCAGCCAGCTTCTCGATTTGAAGTAAACATTTCATTTTCAGAGGAAAGATTCAATCTGAATTAATGCTTTCAGTTTTTATAGAGTCCATTGCAGCTTGATCATTAGGACATTTAACAGTCTGTACATTCTCTTCTGAATTCGATAAGGTCTCTTCTTTTTCATCTTCTCAGACAGTTTTTATTCTGTCGTCATTGCTCAGTTTTCCACAGACTTTGAAGTCTCCATATACCATTACGTAATCAGAAAAAGTAACATTATCATATTTAAATTTTTTTAATTCAGGAAAAGCTGTATCAATATCGTCACATTCTTTGATATGGTTGTTCTCCTCGCCGTGCATGAATTTAGCATGATGAAAGCAGTTACTGATTTTGCTTTCTTTAACAGCATCCCATGCAGCATATAGTTCATTTATAGCTGTCAGCAGAGTAATAGCATAGTTTTCACCATGATCTAAAGAAAAAATTCTTTGTTGGAAGAGTGTCTTATGGTAATTTGTTTTAAGATTCTGGATGATTCCTTGATCCATTGGTTTTAGCTTCGAAGTTTTGTTTGATGGTAAATATGCAACCTGTATGGAACTCAGCTCTGGAAGGCTATTGTGGCAGGTTGCATTTTCTACAAATAAGATAATTTTATGATGTTTTCCTGAAAACTGCTTATCTATTCCTTTTAACCAGTTACTGAAGATGTCTTGTATCATCCATGCTTTTGTATTGGATACATAATCAATTGGCAATTTTCGAATTGCTTTAAAACACAGTGGATTCTTGAACTTTCTAGTTACTAATAATTTAAGCATTTCACTTCCATCCATATTAGCCCAAACTAAGGCTCTAATCATCTGTTTACTGCTTTTACCTCCTACACAAACATCCCCTTTAAAATGTAATGTCTTGTTTGGGTAGAGTTTATAAAAACATGCAGTTTCATCTGTGTCAAAAATATCATTCAGTAGGTAAGAAGAGAAAGCCCTTGCAGAAATTAGTATATAGGAAAGAAATTAGTATATATGTCATCGTTTACATCAGGCCTTATACAGTATGATAAGAAAATTGTGCCATCCATCACTGCATTTGAAATCTTCAGTCCCCATTCGACTCACCTATTCATCAACCTTTGCCTGTAGTAGAGGTCCATTTATTGGAAAATTTCGAGATCTAGCCTTCTGGAACCATAGCAGTAGAGATTTATAGATTTTCTATATCTTCTTGGGGATGCATTTCTCACGCATTTCTTTCCTGTAGCAAATTTAGATTTTCCCCATGAATCTAAAATCGATTCCTTGTTTTTCAAATAAGTTTACAAGCTATTTTTTTAATTCCATAGTCAGCTGCTAACTTTGTTTTGCATTCGCTATTCTCTACCTTCTTTAAAATGTCTACTTTTGTCTCCAAAGTTACAGTTTATACTTTCCACATGTAGCCATCATGAATTTTTACTCATTCACATCACACACTGATGGAAGAAAACTAGAGTCCATTAAATTGTCTGGACTGCAGGCATAACTGACGCAGCTGTGTAGAATCTGTAGTAAAGATTGATTTTTTCTGAAATAGCTACACAATCTGTAACTCAGTCAGGTGGCAAAGATGTAGGTTTGCTTCACATAAATTTAACTTTAAAATTGTTTATATGTCATTCAGTTATATAAAGCATTCTTAATTGTTTTTCTAGCTTTAATTATCCAAAGTCTTTCTTGTAAATAGATTTCACATTATTTGAATTTCAGCATGGCAATTTTTCGTACGAATTAGATCAGTTACGTAATAAATTCTCATTTTCTCATTTGTGTAGTAAAAATATTGGATATAGGAAGGATTCTTCATCAACCTATTGAACTATCATAATTCTTATTCTTAAAATATTATCCTTGTCTTTAAACATAACAAAACTCAATCAGACACTACTTTTCAGAATTTTCAAATTTGGGAAAAGGAAGTTCAAGGTATATACGATCAGTTCTACACTTGATACAAGTTTGCTGGCAATTATTTATAAATCTTAAAACCCAAGTAAACACTTAAATTAATTTATTATAATCTAATATGTTGTTTAGATGCCAAAGGGGGTGCATCTTTCACCAAATAAATAGTTGTCATTTTAATATTTTTTCTGTGTCTATTAGTTTAGTCTGGCTATTAGTTTTGCCGGTGCTTGCTAGGTTTTCAAACTGACTGTCTTTCCTATAGTACAGTCAAAAGTCGTTAATTCGGACACCCATAATCCAGAATGATCTATAATCCAGACCTCAAAGCTAAAATCTTTCTGCGCATGCGCCGCGTTGACACATGCGCATAGGCATTTACGCGTGCACGTAAGATCTTTTACAACTGCGCATATGCGTGTGCGCAGGTGCAGAAAACGTTTTCGCGTGTGCGTTTTATGTATAACAGACGGTATAAGCGAAAATTATCTAATTATCTATTTCAGTTAATGTTGATGATTGCGTTGTTCCTTAATCTTCGAATTGGATCTGGCTTATTATTTTTTGCAGACTGTAAGAGCAATTTTATAAAAGTAAACTTGAACTTTCGATTATGTCAAATAGAATTTCCGATTCTGGAGCTCCCCAAAGGATCGTACAAAACGAAAGTATGTTTCGATGTCCATCAAACAAAAAGTGGAATTGCTGCAAAAAAATGGATAAAGACATGAAGAATGTGACAGAGAGGTTAGTGAAAACAAAAAATTTCGATTGACAAGTTAGTCGGTATTCTCGGCACAGCAATTAACGGGACTTGAACAGCGGAACTTTGTAACTGAACAAGAAATTCATGTCTGTTTATAGAATTAAAGAGAAAGTATTATCACATAAAACGAAGCAACTTAAACAACTTACATTGAAAGAAATGTTTAATAAAGTAAAAAACAAATAAATATTTTTTTTTTTTTTTTTTTTTTTTTTTTTTTTTTTGTAAATTTTGATACCCTTTAGATTATAATTGTTCTTTATTTCATAAATTACGATTTCATATTTTTAATTTTAGAATTTTTGCATGCCATCTTACGAGATTTAAACTGATGATCTATAATCCGGAAAAATCAATAATCCGGAATCGCAGAAGTCCTGACGAGTCCGGATTAACGACTTTTGACTGTATTAGTTTTGCCAACCTGCCAAGATTCGTAATTTTCCTTTAACCACAAAGGTCCCTGCCACAACCGGGAAGCAATCATGCCCCAAGCAGAACAGCCATGTGACAGTAAATCACCAGCATTCATACTTCTGAGAACATGTTTTCATGCTTGAGGATTTGTCAACTATTGAATTTCTGGAACTCTGTTGGTCATGAAAACTGACCAGTTTCTCAGTTCTTTTATTTATGAAATGGCTGTAATAGAATCAGGCCAAAGCATTATTTTAAGACCTAGTAGAATGCTTTGATATTAGAATTCGCAGGCCTAGCAATTATACTACAAGCCATTAGCCCCAGTCATGACATACTCATGGGTTTGAGAGGAGATATTTTAGACTTTAATTTAATGTGGACTATCTTCATGTCAGAATTAACTGTTGATTGAGCAAAGAATTTACGCAGCATATGTCCCTTTGCTAGTATCAGCAAGAACATGCAATCCAAAAAATAAATTAATTCCCAATTAATGAGGCAAAGTTTCATTTTTTAGTTCATGTACATTTTTATGCCATTTTGAGAATTTATTCACATATCTAATGGTGATTAACAATCCCAAGTTAT